TGATCATCTCAACCGTATTCCAGGAAGTGAATGGAGCATCGATTATTTGTAACCGATTTTTACGCCGTATCGATTTTTTACATTACGATTCGAATCTATATAAGATATCGATACTTTCCTTGAATCCTTGATAAAATTTAGATAGCGATATTAAAATAATAAATATTTAAGATATAAATTTTAAACATATATGTTGCAATTACAATAATTATTAATACTTAAATTTAAAATAACATTTCTGGTAAGTTGGTATTAATTTTAAAAAATTGTATAAAATTTATTAATTTTACTCTCCATCTGAAAAAAATATCTTACTCGTCGCTTAACTGACCCAACACTTATTTCTAAAACAGGCTGTATTTGCAATGACATAATTTCATATGTATAATTCGAATTACAAATTGATCTAAACGAGGAAGTTAGCGCAGATGCTCCTCAATGATGCAATGGTATTCCTTAATGATAATCACAGCCTAATAGTTACATGATTATGTACTCCTATATTGGGTCAAAGACTTGGGACTTGGATAACCATATGACTGTATATCTGCAATATATTAAAGCAAAAAATCAGACTTTGCTTGTAGTTGGTACTAAACTGGAACTAACGAAATAAATTGTTTGCTAAATTTGAAAAAATAATTTCAGATTTAGAATTCAACTGACGGTTTTGTAAATAATTTCTTATATACTTACAAATCCTACAATTACTTTTTACTCTTCGCATTATTCCTCAACAACTAACTTATTAGGTATCGAGACAAATGATGTTCCAAAACAAATGACGTAATTGCAACATTGGTCTACAAATAATGAATTTATGTACATATATGCTTATATGCATATACATACGATTTGAACATGCATCTGGTCTGGTGCAACTGAATTTGATTCAGAGACCACCAAACTCTTCATTATTTAACACTACAACTGGTTTGTTTCATTTAAAAAATAACATTGTGTATAAATTTTATAATTTTGGAACGAATACACTGAGGATGAATTTTTTGTGACAAAACGTCTAAATCTGGTTCGGGCTGAGGCAGTACAGTACTGGGGGTCACGAAGGCTTGCAAAAAATGTAATAAAATTTCTAGGGTCGTATTTAAAAGAATGAAGTTGATGATGATGGTCCTGGAGAGACGAAACGTTACATACAAAAATTGATTATGCCATTCGATAGAGGGCAAATAGTGGGCTTGAGAAAGTGTTTTTCAGTATCACCTCAAACAAGACTGAAATTAAACAAAAACGGATTCCAAAATTTCGTTTTTTTTTTCAAATATTTCGAAAACTAATCATGTTAGCCTTGATTTTTTAGAGGCATAATGTTGGTCCCCTGATTACGCAACTTTGCCCCCATTTAAGCTACTTCGTAGTTCTTACCGTTTCCGAGATCCCTATAAGTGAGAAGCGAATTTTAACAGCTTTTATATCAATAAAAGCTTTTGACAACTACTCATAATAAATGCCAAAAATAGATTCTAGTCTACACTACTATAGCGAATCCGATTCCATCTTTAACTAAAAGTTTATGCATACACATTTTTAATATGGATCATTAATATTTTATTCGATTACAGGGTGTTAATAAAGTACAAACTTTAAAGAGGCGATTCTTTGAGTAATTTGAAGCCAAATAGATTATTTAGACATGGGTCCACAGATCGATAATTAGATCATTTTGAAATGTTTCATACATAGTTCATATTTACTGGGCATAGTTACGTCAAATTCTGGGGTTTTCATTCAGAACGACACCCGATCCCGATATCTCCATCACTGCTATTATAATGTATTTTATACCTTAAATCACTAAATTTTTACCTATTAATTAATTAAATAAATCAATGGACTAAGCAAACGAATTCAAAGATATTTAAAAAAAAATGATTTTTTTTAAATATCAACACCCGGTATTGACCTATTGACTACTACTACCTCTATATTGACTATTGAACTTCCTACTGATTCCTTCCTTCCAATCCATGTTTATATAACCTCTTTGGCCTAAAATCACTCAAAAAAACGCTCCTTAAAAATTGTCCGACGTGCTTATAGATAACACCCTGTGTACAGACTGTAAAAAATACATCTTATGTTTATGATTCGATGTAGTTTTCTTCGTTTCACATTTTGATAGTCACTGATCTATCTGGTGCTCTATTTGGAGCGATTAATGTGTTCTATTAAACAAGACTTAGCACAATTTCTATATATATCTCATAATTTGATTAACGCAAAAAATTTATAAACGTTCAGTTAAAAAAATCGGTAATTTATTGCTATATTTAGCACATTATATGACACAATTAACAGCTATAACGACAGAACAATATTTGTTTTACGATTTTAGATACTTTGATCTATTTTCCTCTTTGTTTTTGTCATTTTATTGACTATCCTTACTAATTTATGGAAATGGTAAATAGTTGTATCAAAAAGAGCTTTAATTTTTTTCGTTTTTTTTCTTTTGTTTTATTCTTCATCTAACATCAGAGCAATATTTGGAATTTGGAATAGTTCTATTCTATGAGTGCAAACTTTGTCATTTCTTTTTTTTTATATTTCAGTTTGATTACATGTGCAATTGGCTGCGAACAATAAAATGTTTTCAACGTTTATTGTTTAGTGTAGATATGGCTTTATATGAGAATTTAAACTCCATCTTAACATTAATATGTTATTAAAAGTATTTCGATGTTCCTATTTGCTTTAACAAAAAAAAATTGTTGAAAACGGGAAACGTCAGATTCTAAATTAAATTAAAGGTACCTAATTCTGGTATACAATTTGCAAGTCAACCGTTGAAAATATTTTATTTGTGGACATTATTTATTAAATTTGAATACACGAAATATAAAAACTAGTAAACGTAGGTTTTTTTATTCTGTTCTTCAATGTGTCCTTTAGACGAAACTATAAACGCACCATCGTGAAAAGGCCATATTAAATAGGTACCTAAAATTAAAAAAAAAATGTCCACAATCATATCCACAACTGTACTGTATTCATTTTATTTCTGTTTAAACGGGCTTCTCTGTGACTTATCAGTGTCATTAAGAACATGATAACAGCTACGGTAAAACATTGTATTGATTCCGATGATCAAAAACAAAAAAAAAAAGTGATAGGGGTATTGGTCCTCCCTGCAAGAACGATGGGTTTCTTGCAAAAACCTGACATCGGCGCCGATTCAAATTTTCAGCTGAGGATGTCACTGAAAGAATCCCTTTTCCACCAGATGTAGTGGGGGCGATCACGCATATTAATTAAAAGATGCGTTAATGCTATCAACACTCCCCCCGTTCCCCTGTAACAGATAAATAGAGGCGCGTAGACCTCACAGCCGTGTAGTGCCAGCCCTGGGACTGGGGCACACGAGTTTTTGGGGTTCAAAACCCCCCACGTGTAAAGTAAGTGACCAGTTTTGAAAGCGGGCGGTTTTTTAAGGGTGCGACACTTTGGTGGTTTTTATTGACGGTGTAATGTGATTTGAACTTTAAAAATAGACCTTAACGGTAATTTAGGGACAAAAATATATTTTCTAAGGAAAGAGCAAATTTTTAAAACGGTGTGATGTTGAGTTATAAAATAATTGAAGTTGTCCAGTTTATTATTTATTTATTGTGTATAAAAAACTACATTGTTCCTATTGAAAAGAATTGTTAACTATTTAAATTATAAAAGGAATATTCTTTTTAAATTTTAAAATATATATCGATGCACCTACATTTTTTTTTTTTTTCAAAAAAGTATCGCCCGTGATCATCAGAAAGAGATTATCCAAGAAAGTATTTTTATGCATTTATCAATTAAATGCATCAATTTTTTTTGCATGTTGCATTGCATTACATTCTGTATTAAAAAACAAACCAACATTTATTAATACAATTGTTCAATCTATGGTGTAAAGTGAAATTTCTTTCATCGGCCGAAAAATGCAAGTTAATAAAGAATAAGAGTAGATTTGTAAATAAATAAATATTTAATATAATAATAAAAATAAATTTAAACCAAAAATGATTTCTCACATAAACTTGTGGATATGCAATCAAAGAAATAATATTTTGAAAATATTTTGTACCAAATTTAGATTATTTTAAATTTTGTTTCGATTTGCAAATTTGTTACCTACCTCTGAATTAAAATTTGTTTAAGGATGTCATTTCAATTTCAAATATGTTTTATTAACGTATAAAATTCCGTTATATAATCTTAATAAGTGTGCACGATCCAATACAATTTAAAAGCAAACATTTATATTAACACACAATTAAATTTGTAATAGATCGTTCCAGATTCAGTATACGCAGTTGCTGCAAATGGCATATTTTAGAAGAACTTTAACTAGTATGGCCTACAAATAATTGACTATTAAATAAATTCATATATAGAGCAATATCTAGGATAATAATTACTCGACAGTAGAAGCTAGATTGATTTAAATAGATTTTACACTGTAATAGTTCGCCAAAGATGTACAAGGAGTTAAAAATTTTACTCATATCTTGTAGTGAATAAAGAAGGAAATAATGTTCGTTTAAACATGTGTACTATTTTAATTTATTATTATTATATTTTTAATAGCTAAATTATTAAAGTAAGATTGAAACTTTTAGTGAAAAAATATAATCTATAGGATATGATTTCCAAAGAAGTAACGGCTTCTCAAAGTTTCCAAAAAAATTCGCTTGCGATGAGGCTGTAGTCTCCCAGTTTCTGGAAGTCTTCTTTCTGCTGCTGCACATGCATTAATACAAAATTTGCGTAAAATTTGACTTTTGGAAACACCCTGTATACAGTGTTGATAAAAATAATTTTAAATTGTGGCTATGAATAAACGTTTGTCCAAAAATATTTTAAAATTGTATATAAGTAAATCGAAATGTAGGTAGCATTTTTATCTTTTAACTCAAATATAATTGTTCATTTTTAAAAACTTTTTTATTTGTTTACTGCACATATAGATACACAGTCATGACTTTAAAATATCGGGCGCCGCCGCTGCGATTTTGCAAGTAGTATCTACAATCTACATTATTTATTTTTACTTTCCGTAGGATGAAGTGTGAAAAGTTTATTTGGATAGTGTTAATAGCAATAACTTTTTTGGGGACAACGTCAGAAGCGCGACTGAGAAGGAAATCCAAAAGGATGAACGTACAAGCCGATGATCCTGAAGCTGAAGTTCAAAACCAGGAAGGGTCTTACACTTATGAAGATTATGAAAAGGAATTCGACTATACTGACGATTATGATGAAAATGGAAGTATGCCTATTTTCATATTTACCTAGAAAAATATAATAAAGCACATACAGGGTGTAACCAAAATGCTTGGTCAAACTTTAGTGGCGAGTTCTTCTTCCACTTTTTTTGCAACTTAAAATGAATCATAACCTTTCACTAACTTTGAACGCCACCGAACACCTCGAAAATAATACTTTTCAGGACAAATGTTTATACAGAGTGTTTGAAGTCGATGCATTCCTTGCAGGAGGTTATAGTACAAGCGATTTGTGATATATATTCTTAATATACTATATTCCGAAAACGCTTACATTCGATCTACAAGTTTTAATAGGATACAGCACTGATTTTTCTTAAAATAAAAATCAATTTTGAATCCCTTGTTCAATTTGGAAGAGAAAAGGTATCTCGACTGTTTTTCTTATGACGCACCGTTTTCGAGTAAAAAAAATAAATTCGATTTATTGCATAGCGGAATTCGGTTTGAATAATTTGAAAAATAGCAGAAATAACTGCTTCACCCGCAAACACTTAAAAGTGACAGCTATTATTAATTTTGCCAAACAAAAACAAAAACGAGTGCACAGCCAACTTGCTAATTTCTGTTTAGATAGTGAATTAGTGAATCTAAAAACTGATAAACTTTTTTTAGACTATTGATGTTAACTGCGAGGAATAATAATTTTTTGTAATAAAATTGGTACAAAAAAAAGCTGAGTGCATAATTTCTGCTATTTTTCAAATTATTGAAACCGGATTACGCCATGCAATAAATCGATTTTATTTTTTTTACTCGAAAACGGTGCGTCATAAGAAAAACAGTCGAGATACCTTTTCTCTTCCAAATTGAACAAGGAATTAAAAAATAATTTTTATTTTAAGAAAAATCAGTGGCGTATCATTTTTTTCTTTAAAAATATTCAAAGACGTGCCTGTGCGCACGCCACTGGTGAAACTAAAAACAATATTTTTATCGTAAAACATGTATTATTGTTAATTGTCAAAGCATGTAAAATTTCATTAAAATATTCTTAGCGGTTTCCGCAATACTTATAAATTTGCATTTTTTTTAATTAAAACTTTATCACCCTGTAGATCAGAAACTAAGCGATTTCGGAAGATGGTATATTAAGGAAATATATCACAAATCACTTGTACTATAATCTCCTGCAAGGAACGCATCGACTTACCAAACACCCTGTAGGAATTTGTGTTGACTAAGAATACGCCAAGTGTATTAATAACACGCTGTATATTTATGAAAGTTTTTCGATATATTCTCCTTATTGAAATAACTGTCAACTTCCTTACTTATATATTTTTATAAATTTGGAACTATAGTATATACCCTTCTATAAGGTGTGTAAATAAATAAATGCGAAAAAATCCAGGGGGTGATTCCCTGTGCAAAAAATAAGGTCAATCTTTGATATAAACAAATCTCGCATTGTATTAGCTATGTCCTGTTCAAAGTTGGTTAGTGCAACTCTCTCTCTCTCGCTTTCGAAAGTTCAATACGTTTTCAGCCAGGAACGTTGAATAATTGTAAATATTTCTAATTTTCACCACCAAGAACGGTGGTGACAACATTTTTAACAGTAAGGCGATGTTTCGAATTGTATTAGCTATGTCCTGTCCAAATTTGGTTAGTGCATCTCTCACAGTTTCGAATAATTCCAAATATGTATTTCGAATATTCACCACCAAGAACGGCGGTGACAATATTTTTAACAGTAAGGCGATGTTTCGCATATTCGGACATTCACTGTGAAGATATAACCGCTTAAAGAGGGTGCCAAAAAAGTTTTTAATTTTTTTCTGAAATACCAAAAAAGTGACAGAAATTAAATTAAGTAGTTTTCTGCTATCGAGAAGGCATGCACTCAGTAAACAATTTGTTGATTGTCCCCTACGGTTGTAAGTGGTAGAAAATGCTATCCCTAAGACTTGTTTTATACGTAATTTTCTTCTTACCATTTCAAAATTCATTTCATTCTAAACAAAAAAAAGCAATATATTGTAATTTTTTGTAAAATTAACGATTTCTGAGCCAAAAAATTATATAAAATCAATTAGGTACATAGAATAATTGCCATATATTAGAAATTTTATTGAACTAATAAATAAAACGTATAATTACTGTTTATTTTTCTTTCTTACAGCCAAAACTATTTCTCTTTTTTCTTACTTTCAAAAATTGACTTTAAATCAACACTTTACCAATCTTCCATATCAAATGTTCCAGTCCAAAGACTTGGGACCCAGAAAATAATAAATTCCTTCTAATTTTTGCAAACAAATAGCAAATTCAACACCAAGAACTCCAGTGACAACACCCCAACCACTAAACGAGAGACCAGTGGACGTAGAGGAGAGCACACAGATCTTCGTCCAACCAGATGACGAACAACCAACTCCACAGCCTACCAGTAGTATAGATGTTCATGTATTTCCTCCAACTACTCAACGTCCCTTGAATTGTAGACATGATGGGAGGTTGTATCATGATAAACAGAAATGGTTAGTGGGCGAGTGTACGAACTGCACCTGCATTAGGGGAAAGGTTGAATGTAACACGGATGATGAATGTTTAGCAAAGTTGAGGCCAACAAGAGAACCTCATATTGGTGGAGGAGGAGAATTTTTACCACTACCAGGTACCTATCTGTGTACTTTAATCTGTAACATCGGGTGCCCACAAACAACCATTGATCTTTATATCTATTGTTAATATTTTGTTAAACATTAAAAATGCAAGCATAAAATATTTCTCAGGTCCACAAGGACAACAAGGATATCCGGGCGAAACAGGGAGGACTGGAGAATCTGGGTCACCGGGAACACCTGGGTATCCTGGAGTGCCAGGACCGCCAGGTCCTCCAGGTCCTCCCCCAGACTTGTCGCAATATTATCAGCAATTGGCACTATCACAAGCTAGCAACGACAAAGGTCCAACTTATCCAGAACCGTTTCAATATCTACAGGCAGCAGTAGGACCAGTTGGTTCCAGAGGGCCACCAGGTATTCTAGAACAATTTTCTTTAAAATGCTACTGATACTATTAGATACATGCGAGGGCGGGATTATAATGTTGAACTATTTCAGGTCCACCCGGACCAGCAGGGCCTCAAGGCTTTCAAGGTACCAGAGGTGAAACTGGAGAACCTGGACAACCTGGACCACCAGGATCTCCTGGATTAAGAGGGCCACCGGGTCCCCCCGGAAAAGACGTAAGTGACACAATAATCCTTACAGGTTAAATCTTACATGACTGTGTACATATGTTTTAAATATAGGTATAACATTCACGATGTAAATGAGTCAGTGAAAGTCATTTCTCATAATTACAAACATATTTATGCTGGATAACGAACGGGAGGCCAAGATCGTTAAAGAATTGGGTTGCCTACTACAAACTTTGACCTTGAGTTTTCCAATGGCCTTGCAGCATTTCTGAAGCGAGAATACGTCATATCTCATCGTATATTTGATTTTCATCATCTAACTCAATATTAATTATTTGAATTATTAATCATTTAAATAATTTCTGAGTGCGTATATACTTATAAAAGATGCAATTGTAATATTTTTGCAGCTTAGGATGAGTTAGCAGTGTTTCCGATGTCGTAGCTCGTCATTGTTGCATAATAGGATTGATTGGTCCGTCTAACCTATCACTGTTATCCTTTAGCATTGTTATGGGGTGGTTTGAGTGAGGGTTTCGACTTCCATTTTTGCTAGCGCTGTCGGGGGTTTATTGGCCTACTCCCTGCAAGGGGACATTTTCGTGTGCCTCTCCCTTCACGCCTACATTAACATAACTTTGTTAACTTAAATGGAACACCCTGTATTTTTTTACTCTGTCGTGTGCAGATTGAAATTTGTCAAATTATTGTTGCGTCTACATAATTTATGCCGAAAATTTAAATAAAAATGCCTGGGGATCGTGTGTGTAAATTATACTAGTGAGGTTTATTTTAATTTGTTTGTTATTTATGGAAAATGTGGCAAAGTAATTTCAAAACCGTGGAGAATTTGCTGCTATTTTCCATAAATAACAAACAAATTAAAATAATCCTCATTAGTATATAATTTAAATGATCCCCAGGCATTTTTATTTAAATTGTCAGCAAAAACTATTCAGACACAACAATAATTTGACAACTAACTTGACAACTTTTTTGGGTGTTTCTAGTCATGACAAATTTGACAACAGGACTGATACGAGAAAAACTGTCCAAAAAATAGAAAATAGACTCTAAAAGTAGTAACGGCAACCCTAACAATGCTTATATGGCTTGAAGGAAATTTCAATCTGCATATGACTAAGTAAAAAAATACAGGGTGTTCCATTTAAGTTAACAAAATTATAGCTGTTTGAAGTTATCAAAATGTAACAGCAAAAATAAAACACCTAATATTAAATGTTTTAATTTGTTGGCATACCATAACTTAGTGTTACTTATGCCCTTTGCAGTACCATCCAGTTAATATAACGCTCCTGGTATAGGGAATATTTAATAAAGTGACCCTTAACTTGTACGTAGAATCTGAAAATGCAATTATGTACATATAGGGTGTTCCACTTAAAATAACGTAGTTGGTGTCGACTTCTGCTATAACTGGACGTGCTGAAGAGTTCTAAATATTTTAGTTGTGTTCAACATTGCCATGTTGACAAATTTTCAAATTTTTCGGAGCAGGACTTTTCTAGATATTAACACGATAAGTAAAACAAAACCGAGATATGTTTGGACACTATAACATTCTCAAGTCCTAAGCCGCTACAATTTTATTTTTTGCTGAATTTTGAAAAACTTATTTTTTTATCCAAAATCTAATAACATCCCGTTATTCTACACTGTCCAAAGTCTCACACTCTCCTGCAACATTTTGTTTTCTTTCAAGATCTTTATCGTTTATTCATTTAATTTGTTCTGAATTAATATTGAAAAAAGAGGCAAAACATTTACTTTCCGAGTATATAGGTACTAACCGCCACTGCTTTAAGTGTATTTAATTAATATTTTTAGGAATTATGGTGTATTAATAAGGTAGATATGTTAAAATAGTATTATTCATGCGTTGAAAGTACACGGATAATAATAAGAGTAACATAAAGAATTTGAAGGAAGTTGGCAAAATTTGTATCAATTTAATTTTAGAATACACATTTTGTAAGATCCATCCCTCAGTAAAAGCTCAATATTTATGTAGATACATACAGAAATAGTTTATTGGTGAAGATAGTAATTTTTCAAATCAAGTTTTTTTATGCGTATCGTCTAAGAAGATACTGTTTTATTTAACATTTTTCCCACTTCATATAAAAAGTTACAGTTTAAGATTTGTCGGTAACACGGCAACATTGCATAGTAGACTTATGTTATGCTTTCTGCTACAGTGGTTCTCAACAAGTTTTATATTCAAATTTGCTTTACATTTTACATTTTTTGTTTCTAGTTTTTTCGTAAAAAAATCTACTCGTTACATGTTCTACACAATAAATAGTTGAAAATATTTCATTTTAGGGGGAAAGAGGAGAAGATGGCGAAGCAGGTGCATCGGGTCCCGCGGGTCCTCCGGGATCTAGGGGATTACCGGGAATGCCGGGGCTACCTGGATCTAAAGGTCATAGAGGTTTCTCAGGTTTGGATGGCGCTAAAGGTGAACAAGGCTCACTTGGAGAGAAAGGACAACAAGGTGTCCCAGGACTAATGGGACCAATTGGCTTGATGGGGCCAGTAGGACCTAGAGGGGAACGAGGACGAGAAGGACCACCTGGACCGCCTGGTTTAAGGGGGATTGATGGCATTGCTGGACCACCAGGTTTCCCTGTAATTGCTTTCAAAATAATATTTTGAAGTGTTTTATTTAAAATAATTTCAAATTTAGGGATCCATCGGGAAGCCAGGTTCACCAGGTTTTCCAGGAAACCCTGGTGCCAAAGGTGATCAAGGATCACAAGGCTCAAAAGGAAGTCAAGGCCTACAAGGACCTATGGGTCAGTATATTTTATTTTGTGAAGAAAATAACCTTATACATATTTACATTCTTTTAGGGGAAGCTGGTCGCCCAGGACAACCCGGAGAATCAGGTCCACCAGGACCTGGTGGTAAAGACGGATATCCTGGTGAGAAAGGAAGCATTGGAGCACCAGGTCTCATAGGACCCCCTGGATTTCCTGGAGCTAGAGGGCCCCCAGGATTGACCGGAAGTTCAGGGCAACCAGGTGCCAAAGGAGCTCAAGTAATTTATTTGATAGGGACTAGTCTTCATGATAGATATTTTTTTATGTATTTTAGGGGTTACCTGGAGAACATGGCTATAAAGGGGAGACAGGAATGAAGGGAGAAACTGGAGCTCCAGGACCAAGAGGTCTTCCTGGTTTGGAGGGAGTAGAAGGTAAACGAGGGAAAAGAGGTATGAGAGGACCTACTGGACCTCCAGGGTCTTCCGGAGAACGTGGTATACCAGGTGCTAGAGGATTACCAGGCCCAGATGGAGCGCCAGGAGCTAAAGGTCATTTCAAATTTATACCGTAAAAATATAGTGACATATTGTTTTGTAAAAATGTAGGTCAAACTGGGGAAAGAGGATTTATAGGCCCTGTAGGACCCAAAGGAGCTACAGGAGAACCAGGTAGGCCTGGACAAACAGGTTTGCAGGGATTGAGAGGTTTAGCAGGTCGACCTGGACCACCAGGCAAATCTGGATCACCCGGCGAAAGAGGTCTACCTGGGCAAGATGGAAAACCAGGAGAACCAGGAGCGCAAGGCATTCAAGGCTTACCAGGGCCATTGGGACCTCCAGGGGATAAAGGATTAACTGTAAGTAATTCTTTCTGTGTAACAGACGAAATGTAGATTTGTTTTTCAAGGGTGAACAAGGTAAAGACGGTGAGCCGGGGCCTCCAGGCCCACACGGTCCTAGAGGTGATGCAGGAAAAGATGGACAACCAGGACCACAGGGTCCACCCGGCCCGCCAGGCATTGATGGAGAAAGAGGTGCACCGGGTGTTGCTGGACCGAGAGGATTTCAAGTATTAAAATCATTAAAGTTTCACCATATATATTTATGGTAACTAATCTTCTAGGGACTTCCTGGAGCAACAGGAAATCCTGGTACTCCAGGTAAGGATGGAGAACAAGGAATACAAGGGCCTCCAGGGACTCCAGGTAATCAAGGAAATAGAGGAGAAAGAGGGTTTCCTGGAGAAAGAGGGCCAATAGGTCAACCTGGTCTTCCTGGCCCAAAAGGAATCGCCGGTACGCAAGGGGTTGACGGTCCACCAGTGAGTGAATTCTATTTCTTTTTTTTATATTATATGATGAGTAATGTTAAATGAAATTAATATGATTTTAGGGTTCACAAGGCCCAAGAGGTTTAAAAGGCCACCCTGGACTTCCAGGTTTAGTTGGATTACCGGGTCTTAGAGGACAACCGGGACTTCAAGGAGAAAAAGGAGAACGTGGGTCATTTGGGCCAACAGGTCCTGAGGGCCCCCCAGGTCGTCAAGGCGAACGAGGTCCGCTTGGTCCCATGGGCCCACCTGGACCACCAGGTGAAACCGCTGCTCCAGGTGAACCTGGTCTTCCAGGTTTGCCAGGGGAATCCGGTGCTCCAGGTAGTCCAGGAGAAAGAGGGGCTTTAGGACCTCAAGGTGTACAAGGATTTCCTGGACCACAAGGCCTTATAGGATTACCAGGTCTCAAGGGAGAAAGAGGGTTTATAGGATTTAAGGGTAATCAGGGTAACCCGGGACCAGTAGGAAGACCTGGAGAGTTTGGCCCCCAAGGGCCAATGGGATTAACAGGTGTTAAAGGAGCTCGAGGTGAACCTGGGCCAAGAGGAGATGTTGGACTGATGGGACCACCAGGAAGACCAGGAGAACCAGGTCAAGCCGTATGTGTTTCTAAATTATGATTTCACAATGAAACAAATAGAAAATATCATTTTGTGCAAAATTTTCCTGGAGGACATTGGGTCCGGTAAGGAAAGAATATATGCAATGGTAGAGATGCTTTCAAATATAAAAATTATTCATAAAACTCTTTAATGACCCATTTCTACTTAGGAACTAAAGAACACTAGCTCTCAAGGCAATGGATTAATCACCAACTGAATGTTTACTAATATACATATATTTTTTTAATAACTATCTTCAAACCCATATTTGTAGGAAACTATTTGCTCAAAATTTATTTTTCATTTTGATTAAATTTAATAAAATCTTTACAAAACACCTAATTTCTTTCCAATTCTAATCTAATTTATATTTTTATTTTATCATTTTTTAGGGACAACCTGGTAATAGTGGTTCACCTGGCCCACAAGGTTTACCAGGTATTAAAGGTGCTACAGGAGACATAGGAAGAGCAGGAGCAGCAGGTTTACAGGGACTGCCTGGATTACCTGGACTTGAAGGTCCTAAAGGAGACAGTGGATCGGAAGGTCCTCCTGGACCCATAGGTCAAATAGGTCCTCAAGGCCCTTCAGGAGATAGAGGCTTACCAGGTCTTCCTGGACCTCCAGGATCTACAGGACTGAGAGGAATGAGAGGAGCACCTGGAGAATCCGGTCCTCCAGGTAAACCAGGAAACGAAGGTCCTCCTGGACCTCAAGGTGTAACAGGACTGATAGGCCCACCAGGACCTACAGGAGACCAAGGACCAGAGGGTCCACCTGGTAAGCCTGGTCCACCAGGAATTGCGGGAAGAACTGGAGATAAAGGACCACAGGGTGCTCCTGGTCAACCAGGGAATAATGGACCACCAGGACTGCCGGTGGGTAATTAAATTAATAAAAAATATTTTTTACTCATATGTATATATTCCTAATAGGGACCTCTAGGTTTGAGCGGCCCATCAGGTGCTACTGGAGAAAGGGGACCACGAGGAGAGCCAGGACCACAGGGAGTAGAGGGACCTCCTGGTGAAAGAGGTAAAACTGGTGCACCAGGCATAGAAGGGGCTAAAGGAGACCATGGGGAAATTGGTCCTAAAGGTGCAAAAGGTCACAGAGGATTAATGGGCTTGCAAGGTTTACCTGGAATCTCAGGTCCTCCAGGAGAAAAAGGTCCACCAGGAGACCACGGCATGCCTGGCAAAGAAGGGGAAACTGGATCTAGGGGTCCCCCAGGAAGAGATGGTAGTCTTGGCCCACAAGGAATAGCGGGTCCTCCAGGTCCTAGGGGTGAGACTGGCAGTGAGGGAAGACCTGGACCCCCTGGAGCTCCTGGTAATTATGTTTAATTTTCTTGATTAAGTGCCATATTTATATTTTTAATTTTTATAGGTCCAGCCGGTCCACCTGGCCCACCGGGTGATGGGATTGGATATGACGCTGCAACCTTAGCAGCTTTCCTTACACAAGGTCAAAATAATCAAAAAGGACCAGATCCTTTAGGTGATCAACCACCCAGAATATTTGGAAAGCAGTTAACTGAAGAAGAAACTAGAGAACTTATAAATAAAGCATATGAGCAACTGAAAACTTCATTCGATAAACTTAAGAAACCGAGTGGACAAAAGAACTCTCCCGGAAAGACTTGTAGGGACATTGCAGCAGCTTATCCGGAATCTCAGAGTGGTGAGTATATATAACTCCAAGGAGTGTTGCTCCATATAGAACTAACCATATGTCTGAATTTTAAGGCCAATACTGGGTAGATCCCAATGAAGGAGATATCAGAGACTCAATCTTAGTCCACTGTGACATGGAAAGTAAAGCCACCTGCATCATGCCTAAACCCGCCAGATCTCCAGAAATTCATTACAGAGGAAAAGATTCAGAAATTTGGCTCGGTGAAATAGAAAGTGGAATGAAGGTATGTTTGCTCCATAATAAAGTGCTTTAAATTTTTTTTTAAATTTTTTTATTTTAGCTTACCTATAAGTCTGATAGCACACAAATAGGCTTTCTACACTTACTTTCATCTAAAGCATCACAAAATGTCACATATCATTGCAAAAATTCAGCAGCTTACTTTGACACAACCAAGCATACCTTTAGGAGGGGACTGAAGTTAATGAGTTGGAATGACGTCGAGATTACGCCTAAGGGGAAACTTAGATATGAAGCCATCATTGATGAATGCAGGGTAACTAATATGCGAATCTTTTAGTTTTAACTTAGAATTAATTTAAACACTACCTATTGCAGTACCGAAGAGATGCTTGGGCAATGTCTGTTTTGGCATATTCCACCGACAAGCCACAGAGGTTACCCATCGTAGACATAGGCATCAGAGATGTTGGAGAGTCAAATCAGACCTTCTGGATTGAAATTGGAGCTGTTTGCTTCTCCTAATAAAAAAATTAACTACTTAATTTTTTAAGTAGAGCCAAATATCCACTGCCATATTCAGTGTTCAAATAAATGAAAAATAAACTTAATTACGTGTATAGTATAAAATATGTTACATTCTTTTTTATTTTGTTTTTCTAAAGGTGCTATAACTATAGATGTAAATTTTAATAAAACAGTGAAAATAACTTCAGCCGTGTTTCATTAACTTACAATAAGAATTGAATTATCCCCTAAACAATAAAATTATACCTGCATATTTCGCAATAAGGAGATTAGGTCATTTCCACCAACTTTCGATTAGGTAAAGAATAGGTAAGATTTGTTTAACTAGAGAATGAAATAAGATCCTGAAATAATTCCAATAATTGAAATGAAAGATGCAAAAGCGCAAATTTTAGATTGCATAGTATACTCACGGATAATAACATTCATGTAGTATCGACTAAACCCTAAACCATGAGAAAATATTTACATACTATTGCATATGAGTAGAAAAAATAATTATAAAATGTACCATATAGGATCATATACATAGGTATGTAGGTATGGAATAGGAGAAATAATAAAATCTCCCATTTCACATTAAACTTTAGCAAAAATAATGAAAAAGATATATTAATAATAATGTTATAAAACTTAAAAAACTGATATATTTTACGGAATTCAGTATTGAATAATAATTTTAAATTTATAATTCGCGCCAATATATACTGTAAACCAATGTAGAGTCTATTGCTAAAAACAATCTTTCTATAAAATTTCTAAACTTATCTTTCTCTCGATTATAAATATAGTGTAAATAAAATGTCAATTTTATTTTGTGAAATAAAATACCTATTGAAGAATTAACAATTATATAACAAGAATCTAATTCTAAAATAGACAATAATGTTCTCATCTCTTTTCAGTGGATAGTGCAGGAATATATATGTATCTCTTTTTAAGTCCCAATTTATTATTACGTATGTATTGATATTGAAACCGAAGTGGAACAGATTTACAGATTAGTTGGGTTTTATTCTAAATTTATTTGTTTGAGAACAAAAAAAAACTGATTCGAGATGCAGGGAATGTCATTGAACTCCCTTAAAAGGCACAAAGCGGTAAGTGAAAGAAATTATTTAAAAATAACTACACATAACCTTTAATCGTCTTTCCCAAAATTGATATTGAATAAAGGTATTTTTTTATCTTTCTAGTTGATTCCCTTGTACTTTTGTGTTGGATTGGGTTGTGCTGGAGCAGCTTTCTATACTGCTAGATTGGCCTTTAGGAATCCCGATGTCCAGTGGAACCGCTCCGGTGAAATCTCTAATGAGGAATTCAGGCAGAAACAGTACAAGGTTGAGTGTTTAATTTAGTAACAGTTTATTAATTATTTTAACGAGTCTGTTCTGTTTTAGTTTTACTCTCCAAATATAGACTACAACAAACTGGAAAGTCCCGCCCCAAAATACTAAAATGTTTAACTGGTAGTCAAATATACAGTGTAATTTAATTATAAATAAAGTACTTAGTTGTAAAATATAAATATATTTGAATATTTTCCACATTTTCTTAAAATTAATTTTAACTCATTTTGTCGTGTCAGATATGTATGTACCATTGTTGGTATTGTAAATGGGTGTAAACAATAATAAGAAAATCGACCGATGTCTCTTGTTGGATTGGGCCTTGAGGGGCCAGCTGGTCAACTGGCTAGGTAAGATGATATTGGATCTTTTTTTTCTGGGTAGGTCACCGGGCTCCAGGGAGATCGTGCCCTCGCCCCCAAGCTGCCTGCCCCTATACTTATGTAATGAATGCATATATGTACTTACGTTTGTGGTCGAGTTAGTTGTGTTTCCTCATAATATAAGTAGAAAGCGTAGAAAAATTGTTAATATTCAATTTTTTATGGTAGAAAGAAATGTATCTAGACGAATTTAAGTATTTACAAATTTATCCTTTACTGTTACTACTAGGTACTTTACTATTCACATAAAAACTACCAATTTTGTATTAAATCCTGTTTAAATAGAATAATGAATTTGTAATTATTTGATACTTATCACATTGTGCCCTCTTCACAAATCAGTAAATTTATTAATTTAAACCCATTGAAATAAAATACCTACCTTAATCGTATACTCATAATCCTGCATACATGCCTATAAAGGCCCCTCTAGACGGTCAATACATAGAAAATTGAATATATTAATTTTTCTATGGGTCAATAATATATTCATATTGCACAATAATAATGTCTCCATTATATGTTTTGTGGAGATATCCCCAGACGGTGCACTATCATCCCAGATTAATTCAAAATTAATCTGGGCTATCAATGTGCAATAATTTAGTTCACCTTAACCATTGCGAGGCTCCGGGCGGCAGATCTTTGTGAAATGTACGTAAATCGAATGCAGATACTTCTGATGATTTAAGAGAAATATTAAGAGATTTTTAAAAGAAATACAGACGACACATATTATTGTACAATAATATTGAGATGATGAGATGTAATGTAGCGTTCGGCTTCATTGTTCCGTGCATTCTTTTTTGCCCAAAAGTTTAGTTGTCGACTGTCATAGGACATGAAGGCCTACTGATGAAAATGCTCACCAACCAATATCCCATATCCTTTACCAAACTCATAAAATCCTACCTACACCACCGAAAATTCCGCATCCAAATCCAAGATTCCCTTTCCACCACCCGTCCCATGGAGGCCGGTGTCCCCCAGGGCACCGTCCTGTCCCCACACCTATACACCATTTACAACTCCGACATCCCACATCCCCCCAACACCAACATATACTTATACGCCGACGACCTGACAATCACATCCCAATCCGTAGATCCTAGATATTCCGTCT